CATTGGCAACACAATGATGAGAGGAATATACAGTAATGCAATATAGAGCTATCAAGTCTCAGTGTCGTACTGCTCAGACGAAGCAGCTCCTCTTCAGCAACCACCTTGTGCATCTTCGAGAGGGCATAGGCCAGTAGCTCGTGCATGTTGATGCCATACTAGCCAGGCGGATTTGGGGTCTAAGAGTTTAGGGTTTAGGGTTTAGGGTTAGGGTTTAGGGTTTAGGGTTTTCCACACAGCACCAGCACGGCAATTCGCCTAGTAGGTCGACGTGCTCTCATCGTGAGCTGGCTTTGGTTTCATGCGTCTCAGAGACCACTCGCACGACCACCCGATGAATGACCCAGCTGGCAACACTCAGCCAAAATTACACTCTCAGCAAGTTTAGCGTTAGATTTAGGGGAACCTCACTCTGGGCTTCGAAGTACCCAGGGAGAAAAAAGTATAGACTTTTATTTCATTATGGTTCCTTTATAGGAACATGTCCCCCACAAAAAGATTGAAGTATGGTACTCCAAAGCCCAGCTATGTTTCAAACTGCGTTCGAAGCGCCTCTGTCTCACCTCTGGGGCCTCGCGGCGCCAGGACGAAAACGCGGGCGCCGGTCTTCGTCTGCCCGAGTGTGAGAGGCAAAGCACCCTTTGATGTAGGGGCCCAAAGCATTACCGATACTAATACCATTTTGGGGGGCTCCTTACTGCTATAACTTTAGTATAATGGGCCCCAAAGCCCTAGTCTAATTTATTAAGGCCCCAATATTATTAGCTCTTGCGGCACAGACTGCACTGCATGATTCCTCGCGTTTGCTGTTTTGCCAGGCGCTGCGCTGTGTTGCTGGCCACCGCGGGGCCAAATGCCCAGATCAAGGGAGGGCAGCTAGCTCATGTTCCCAGGAGGAATCTAAGCCACTGCCAGCTCTCAGGCTCTTACACGGCACCAGGTTTCAAAGGAATGACTAGGAACTTAAACCGTCTGCTTCAGCAGACCCGAGGTAACATAGACCATGGTGTATTACGCACGCGAAAGCAAGTAAGCCTTAAAATGCGGTGAGGCTTATGTGTATCAACACCCAGCCATGACATGCAAACAGCTTCAAATAATAGATACTCATAGATACTAAGGATACTAAGGATACTAAAGCAGGCTCATGGTCGGTACCTTAGGTCAGCCGCGACAGCGGAAATTGAAGTGCAGCCGCAGCTGCACGCTGTCGAGAAAGTCCTGCCCTGTGCCCGGGCTACAGTTAACGGTAGGTGTCTTGGGTAGCGGCTAGACTTCTTGCGCTCGTTGTTTGTTTGGGGCTCGGCGAGTATTGAAAGGAAATATGAAGGATAAAACGCTACAGACGCCCAACCCCAGAAACGGTAGGAGGAAAACGAATAAACCGACGATGAAGGAAGAAACGAAGAAGGTGGAAAAACAGTTTAACAGAAATCTTAGAAATAATCTTGGAATGAATGAGCGGCACAGACCCTGCAACAGCCCCCAGACCAGCCCCCTGAACCGGCCTTTCTACAGTTTTTTCGCCAAACCTCCGTTGCACATTTCTGCCCCCCCAAACTTGTCTGTGCCAGCAAATGTTGAGCATTTGCTAAAGGTACATATTTTCGTACTTTCAGAGGAAGGTCATGTACGACATATTAAACACCATAACTTTCTATTGGGCGTAGTTAGAAAATTGATGCTAATATATCGCTGGGCGTGAGCTGCGTGAGGTCATCCAAGTGCCTGAGCACATAGTGCAGCGCCTGCTGCTTGAGGTTGTTGAACTGGCGGTTGACTTGTGCTACATGCTCCTTCGCGGCCGCGACCTTCAGCTCCTCCACTTCCTCGGGCGTCAGAGGGAGAGGGCGCTTGGGTGGGCTCGGAGGCGGCAATGCCACGACCGCCTTGGCGAAGCCAAGGCGCTGCTGTCCCCAGTCGAACTGGACGTAGTACTTGCGCATAAAAGCAATTCCCAGGATCCACAGGGGACCCCGCGGCGCGGGGACGTCGATGCCGGTGAGGCCGAGGATGCATTGGGAGCCGGATGCATGCATTATGAGGTCAGGCTGCGAGAGGGTGTAGTCCTTCCCACCCAAGGTGAAGGTGAGGTCCGGCAGCTTGGCACTGCAGTCCACCACGTAGTCCTTGCCCAAAATGGACTT